AAGGCTGAACTCTCTGGCAGATAGGTTCAGTACTTTTACAATACAAAACAGACTTGCACAAGACGGACAATCTGCAGGTGCAGGACTAATTGACAGGTATGTTTGTGAATAACATTTTAGGTTCGCCGGAGAAGACTGCACTCTCTGGTTCACGCATGTGATTCGCGTATTATTTGCAAAGTCTAACCATCATAGAGTGAGTTTCTAAGTCTTTCCAATTTAAAAATTAAAGCGATTTTTAATAATTGTAGCAAGAAGAGGCTAAAAAGACCTGTTCGGTACTCGCACACTTTTTTTCAGTGAGCTCACACTCAAAGTGCGCACAAATCGCATCCCAGACAACAACATAGTATATATTTGAAATCTGACAACAACTGTATCATAAATGTTGTTTATTTTGCTCATAATTTTAGTTAAAAAAAGGTTATTTTTCAGGCTAGATCAGCCAGTGCGCATGCGCAGTGCTAGGCGCAAGTCTCAGAACGCTGACTGTTTCTATAGTAACCGGGACTTCTAACGGCAGCTGCAGTAACACGCTGATTTTACCGATTAGCGATTGGCTCTTTTACTCAGAAGGCGGGGCTTCGTTCGTTAGAGCGGCCATATTGAGTGTTGCATTTTTCCCCATTCAAAATTATACGAGTGACATGTCTTGGGTATTATATAGTCTTTGATAAAACTGCACATTAGCACCAAGACACTGTCGGTGTGGTGTGTAACACAATACAAATTAATGCTTTGCCATAATCAATGTTGTCTATAAAACAGTGACATAATACTTTACTCTTATCTTTACCCTTTGATTGCCTATCTGTCTTTATGTTGGCAATGATGTGACATTTATGAATTGTGTTCTGTATTTTGTGTTGACTAAGACTGAGGATGTTCCAAAGGGGGCAGGACATGCTCAGAACACGACCACAGAGAGTCCGCATGGCAAGGATTAGAATTGGTCTGATTCCTCATGGGAATGACACAATATATATGCCAAGGCGTAAATTCATATTTCAAATAATTTGAACTTGACAAGATTATGTTTTAACTCTGATTCAGATATTGTGGGTTTTTAGTTTTTACTAATTCTGAGATTGTATAATGCACTAGTCATAATGGGCACTGCTAAGTATTTTGCTTAGAGTATGGTTGTGGTGTTGCTGGGATTTCAACTGCTAAACTCTGGATAAATATTACCCTCGGTTAGTTCTTCCACTATAATTGCCTAATTACATGCATATTTTCATACATTTTACATCAAATTACTTGATCTAATATTCTGTCATGTGATTCAGTTTACATGACCAGGATTCTGAGAGGAGCACACAGCCCTTTTAACAACAAAGAGACAAAGTCATTTTAATTAGACCAGGTTCAGTTAGGAAGTTCCAGTGCTTTAAAGCAAACTGTTCTTTCTTACGTTCTCATGTCTTTTTCCCTCTTGTACAGCTGGGACAACACAAAAACTACTGATTGTCCCACATTCCATGTCTGAGAGGGAATTTGTGGAAAGGATAAGGGAGGAATTCCCAGAATTGCAGCAGCGTCAATTTACACTCTGCCGATTAAATCGGCACAAGCACATTATCCCTTTAAACCTCCCCACAGTTTGCCCTGCTTCCATAAAGTCCTGCCAAGAACTCAGAAATTCACGGTCTGCTGTATACATAAGACCAAGGGTATGATTCTTTATACATTTATACACTTTACACAATTTATACATTTTTTCAGCTGTAACACTTGTTTCTACAAGCAGTGAACCAAAAGTGTCTGTAAAATATTAAAAATGTTCTTAGTCACATTGGAGCGTTTTTTTTAATAATCCTTAACATTTTTAAAACAATAAGTGCATGCCGGAGATTGTGCACAATTCACATTGACAGACTATGTCAACAGTTTGCTGCTGTGGTACAATTACCTTTCTATTTAACTATTCAATAGAGCACCATAGAAGACATTTCATAGAAGACAAAAACATGACAGACAGTTCTGATTGTATGAAAATGAGAAATTGCCTTTATGGTGTGCACAAGTACGCGGTGTGGCAATTGAACAGTTTTGAGAATTGTAATATTGATCTGAGAAATGCTCAAAAACAACAGAAAAATGGTCATTGGTCATTTACATATATGATTTAAATTGTGAGCACTTATTCAGCAAGCAATTCTGTTTTTTTCAAAGAAAAGCTTTTTGGACTTTTTCAGGTTTTAGAGCCAGCCGGGGTTGAAAATGAACTACAAGATGACAATGTACATTTCTCAACTGTTAAATTTTAAGATACTGAATGCAAGCCATTATATACATGTGACAGTTTTTCTGCAAGCAATACAGTGTTTTTCTAAGAATAGCTTTTTGGGCTTTTTCAGGTTTTGGAGGCAGCCGGGGATGAAAATGAACTGCAAGATGACAATGTAAATTCCTCAACTATTTTAAGATACTGAATGCAATCCATTATATACATGTGACAGTTTTTCTGCAACCAATAGAGTGTTTTTCTAAGAACAGCTTTTTGGAGTTTTTCAGGTTTTGGAGCCAGCTGGGGATGATAATTTCTCAGTCATTACATTTTAAGATATGGAAAGCTTTCAAACATGATCAGATGTTGAGCTGAGTAGATGGATAGATAAATGGATCAATTGATAGATGGATGGATAGATCGTTAGATGATTGATTTGTCCCTATGGGGAAATTTGGTTTGCAATACAATCACAAGGCACATCGACAATTTTTCAGATTTTAGGGTTTCAGGAAGGCTTTGCAGATGACAGGACATCAAGTAGGGATGACAGCCAAAGTGTAAGTTTTTAAATCAGAAAATCTGAAATGCATGACACACCATTGGTGATAGTGTTCCAACAAAAATTGTTGTATTAACCTTTCACAATATTATTTAATACATTAAGGCTAGTCCTTTGGCTAGTTTTGAGAAGCAATGCAGATGAGATGTTTTATTATGGGATGCACTGGATGATTTTGGATATTAACACATTTCGAGTGTGTTCTGTGCTACATTTTGAGGTTACCTCAAATTTAACATTTACATAAAATTTTCATAAATAAACATGTATGTACATGGATCTGTGCAGGATTTAAGGGCATGGAGGGCCCTGAGGCAACAACAAGATATAGAGTATAATCAGTCCCTAGAAACTGACAGAGCAAGGGTAAATATCATAATACAAATACATTAATATGATATTGAATTTTGTTGTCAGCAAAAATAATGCATGTATGGATGATCTTTGAATTTTTTTTAATCTAAATGAATACTCATCTAATTAATGCCTGATGGTTTAATTTTTGTTCTTATATTTTCAAATGTAACAGGAGAGAAGGAGGAGACAGATGCAAGAGTGTGAATTGCGACAGAGAAAAGTATGTTCAAATATGATGAAGCTGGAAAATTAGTCCAAGTTATTGCTTTCTGTGTAACTGAAAATTTTGAAAAGGCAATAGATGATCTCCAGAGGCACATATCAGCTCTTGTTGAGCCAGCTGATGGAATAATGATACAATTCAAATACCCAGATGGGAGACTTCTGAAGAGGAGATTCAATGTCTCACAGCCATTTCAGGTTAATTTCACTTATCTACTTATTTATTGAAGAAAGATTATCATTTTGTTTCAATTACAGATCATTTATTCTCCTTCTGACACAGGACCTAGTTGCGTTTGCCGGTGAGGTTTTCTCGGTTCAGTTGCCACTCTCACCAACTCCGTTATATAGCAATCTAACAGGCACCTTATAAAGAATGGAAGGTCCAGCTATGCCATGATCTTCTGTGTTGTGGCTGTCTTCGGATGAGGTACAGGTAAGAAAATGTGATACATGTTTGTTTATATTATGTGATTAATACAAATGTTTATTATTAGTGCATCATCATCATTATTTTCTTTATTAAAAGAATACCGACCTTTTCATTCATATGCTGGTTTCACTCCCTCTCAATTTAAAACAAGAAGATCCTCTAAACCATTGTGTACACATGCTCTAAAAACACTGACACTCCTCTTCAGTCTCTGATATCATTGCACGATCAGGCAACACTGCGAATGATGGACTGCATTCTAGAAGACCCCACCCATGGGCAAGCGTCTGTGGTGTCCTGTGGCTAGGACCAATTAATATAAAGCTGCCTTTTGCGGTTATCCGTTTCCTGAACTGAAATATGCTACCCGCCCCCTCCTCTTCCTGCTCCTGCACACTTACGGGCCCATCACAGTCCAGCACCACAAGCCCCCCCCCTTTATTTCTTGCGATTGTCTGTCACATTTGTCTAGAATTGTCTGTTCTGTTATGTCTTAATGTCCTGTCTTACATGCTGTATACTGTTTTGTGTGTTTTTGAAATGAATAGTGAAATTGGGAGCACAAATATTTATATGCAACATGCATGTAATGAATGTGTTATCTTTTCAGGAAATTCTAACAAAAACCGACATGTCATCAACTGGATCGCAACCTGCCATATCTCCCCCACACACCTCCAAATCTCCCCCACACACCTCCATATCTCCCCCACCCAC